ATGTACCGCCTCTTCATCATGTTTAAGTACTTCACATACAACCTCTCGCTGAGCCTCATGGTCATCACGCTCACCCGCAACCTCGCCTACGTGATATTCCTGCTGCACTGGTGGGGTGACCCAGGGGCGGCACGGGTGACGGGGGGTTGCGCGCCGGTCAGGAGGGCGCCCGCGTGCACTGCGCGCGTTGTTTGGACATAGCTGCTTACACAATTATATATAATTGCGAGTAGGGAAATGCCCATTTTGATCCCTTCCCGTCTCACCTTTTGTGTCAGCACCACCGACCCTCCTGAATACGGGCGAGCCGTGTCGACCGACGCCCCCCGCCCCCTAACTGCCACCCAACCGCCAACAACCGCAGGGCGTCGTGCGCATACTACTTCATAGGGCGCCAGACGGGCGACCTTGGGCCCAACACGTGGTACGGTCAGCACGACAAGCTCAAGAACCTGGGGCTGGCGGAGCGCTACATATACACCTTCTACTGGTCAATAGTCACGGTGGGTGGTCCAAGGGGGAGGGGTGGGTGGATGGCTTCGAGGGGTGGCTTGTCGTGCTGAAGAGGATGTGTTGCCGTGCTGAAGAGGATGTGTTGTGTGTTGAAGTGGGATGCAAGTGAACGTGCGTGCATTGGAGCGTGGGTGCGAGCGTGCGTGCGTTATTTGCGAGCCCTCCTGCACGCACGGGTGTCGTGCTTCTGTGGTTTGGGGAATGCGTGCGCGTGTCAGAGCGAGCCAGCCATTGCGGAAACGCACGTCGTTGCTGCTGTTCTCCGTGCCTGCGCATCAGGCGGCTGCACGCCGCAATTCGTCCTATCTCCGACCCCGGTAATTGGCGCCCCTCCCCACAGTTCGCCACGCTCGGCTATGGCGACCTGACGCCCTTCAACACCGTCGAGGTGCGGCACGCCCGCCCACCCCCACCCCCCTTCAAAACTGCCCGCAAACTGAGCGGCCACACGCCGCCACGCGTAGTGTGTCCGTGCGTGAGAGACAGAAATCCAGGCCCATCGGCTGGCACCCATGATGTTTGTGGCGCTTGCAGCCAGGCACCCCGACCTTTTTGCACTTGAGTTCTGAGTGCATGCATGCAAACCCTCCCAACCACCACTCAGTGCCGCTTTCTGTTGCTCTGGACTGCCCCGCACTCTTCAACCAAACCTTCCAGGTGATATTCACGATCGTGTTTGTCACCATCAACATCGTCACCTGGGCGTACATCCTGGGCACGATTACTCTGCTGGTGACCAGGCAGGACGAGGAGATCGGCCAGTGAGTCATCAAAGGGCGGGGCGATGTGCGCAAGCATGTGCTGTTTTGCAAGGCGGGCTGCTGCCATGGCATCAACTGGGAAAAGGGGTGCGCCGCTCTTCGGCCGGGCAACTGGGGGGTCGAGGCAGCGCAGGCAGTCGGCTGGGCAAGCGAGCTTTTCAGCCTGAGGGCCGAGATGGTTTGGGGCGAGTTGTCTGCTTTTGCAGGATGCGCGGTCCTCTGGGCATTTCGACCCTCTTTGACACACACATACACACACGACATACACATACATGCACACATGTATACACACAGTCACACGTCCACCCTGCCCCCCAGGTATCGCGATCGCATGCAGGCCCTGGTGTCCTACTGCGACTCCAACAACCTGCCAGTTGACCTCAAGTCAAACATGCAGGCACGACACAGGAGTGGGGGTTTGAAGTAGGCGGGCGGCAGGGTGCCAGCGCCGGCGCTGCGGGGCCCTGTGCCAAGCCGTCGCGGGAAGAAACGGGCCCTGAGGCCCAACCCCCGCCGTTCCACCTCGCAAACCCTCCACACCCTGCCTGCCCCCTCGCCTCTCTGCCTCAAATGCCCCATTGTCTCATCCCCGCCTCCGGGCCCCCGCCACTTGAAACCCTCCCAACATCACCCACACCCCCAACACCCCCCACCCCCCCCCCAGGGCCTGCTGCGCCTGCACATGTCCCTCCAGGGTGAGGCCACCAGTGACGAGGCGGTGCTGGCGGTGTTCCCCACCTCCATCCGCCGCCGCATCCTGAGGACCCTCTACCGGGAGCCCCTCGACGCCTGCTACCTCTTCCAGGTATCGCGGGATGGGGCGGGGTGTTGAGGGTGGGTGAGTGGGGTGGGCGTGAGAGTGGGTGTGGGCGTGGGTGTGGGGTTGGGTGTGGGTGTGGCTATGTTTTTTTTGTGGGTGTGTGCGTGCGTGCACTATGTGCAGGGGTGGTGTGTGTGTGTGTGTGCATGCGTGTGTGTGGTGGGGGGAGGTTGTGCATGCGCGTGTGTTCAATGTGTGGATGGTAGGGATATACGGCTCGCTTGTCCGCCGCCCAAAGCATGGCTGGCCCACTGACGGATGATCCCACGACCCCCGGCAAAGCCTTGCTCGGCTGCGGGGCCGTCTGTGTGCAAGTCGCCGGCGAACACACAGAGGGCCCCGTCGG